AACAACAACAACAACTTTAAACTTTTTCCTCCACTTGCCCCCACCAACCTTTTCATCTATGCTTTACAATAGCTGGTGATTGTTTAGTCTTCTGCCGATCATTTTTAAAGCACGCAGTACTCAAGGGTGACAATCTTTACTTTTTGAGCTAAACTGGTGTTTAGTTTAAAGGTAATTTCAGGGGACAGTTTTAAGCAAACTCTTTAAAAAAATGAATCATGATGATAATATTTCTTTTGCTGATGCCCTTACTTGGAAAATGAAAAATTAGATATCTTATTTTTTTTAAAGTAAGTCTATGAAATATATGAGTATAGTAAATATTGTATATTAGCTAAAAAGATTTTCTAGCATCCAGTTTGTGATAGAAACTGGACAGTAGATGATTTGGAACTACATTTTTTGACAATGGTGGTGAGTGTTCAGTTGGATGTTGTTTGAAGGAAGAGCAGGGGTTTTCAAAGCAGATGAGCATGTGGCAAGGAAAATTGATTTATAAACTCTGGGGAGCTGGTATGCATACCAGATGGACCACCCCTATCTGCTGGGGAGGAGGCCCCTCTGGGGTTCTAGTCAAATCACAGACTCTGTATGATCACTAGATGAATCAACATTGGCTTGCCCTGTGATCTTGTCTTATTGGTCTGGTCAACCAACTGAAATTGTTTTGAAAATCAATAATGTGCTCAGAATGCTTTCAGGGTTCTTAAGTGAAAAGCATGATTCATTAAAAAAAAAAAGAAAAGAAAATGTGCTTGTTTTGCAAAGCTCAGTACACAATAATATTTTCCATTTTTGTAGTTCCAAGTTCCATTCATCTCCAGTTGCCAAATGGGGGAACATCCAAGTGCTTTTTAAAGATGAGCCAATGAGAGCTATCGGAACCAGCGCTTCCTCTTCCTCCCATATTGTTAAAAATAGTTTACATTCTTCCCAGGCTGTGCTGGTGGACTTGGCTCCAGATGGCAGGCGAGCCTGAGTCATGCTCGGGCCTGGGCCCCGTTGGCAGGCAGGCCACTGCTTTCTGGCCTGCCTGTGGCTGGCTGGAAAAATGTGAATGATTGGAGCCACTCTTCACTTGCCTGAAAACTTTCTGAAAGAACTCAGAACTGCTGGCCTTTCAAGCTACCTTCCTCGAAAATCTGGGACCCTTCCAGACAGGATAACTGGGGAAATGGACATGTTAAAAACAATGTGGAGTAAACGCAGAGCCATCTGGACTGATCTTTAAGAGCGCTTGCTTTTCTGATTTGTGTGTGTGTGTGTATATTGTTGTTGTTGTTGTTAAGTG